TGATTCCTAGTGCTTTAAATTCGTAACAGTGCTTCTTAGACTTAGTGTCGTAACTTATTAACTTAGAAACAGTAATCCTAGTGATTTTGTTGGATGATATCACATGAGAAAAAGCCAACCAGACAACCAGTAATTAGACAAGTGCGGTGTCAGTGAATATATACCAGTTAAAATCCCACTTGAGTGAACTTCAATATTTAAATGTAATGCATGCGAGGCAAACCGCACTAGCCACAAACAAATCATGACTATAGACATTTTGAGCAAATAAGGTAGCTAATATATAACACTGATAATTTAGTCAATGCCACATTGATAATATTAATATGTATATAGATAGGAGCTTATATATAACAATGAGAATATGTGTTTATTCGTGCTCTTTTGGAGAACGAGGCATACACATGCATTGATATACTAAGTATTTAGAAAATATACATGAGGTAATAACAATGAAAATATCATATGTTATTTCATTCGTTTTTCGCCTTGGAGAACGAAGCATACACATTCATATATGAAGATGTCAGTAAGCATATATGAGCTATTGTAATAACAAAACACATTGATAAATGAAAATGTAAACGCGTATGTGCAGTAATAAGAATGAAAATATCTGTTTATTATATTAATAAATGCTTGCCGAAGTTCATAGAGACGCACAGGAGAACGACGCATACACATATACATATATGAAAATGTCAGTAAACATAGGCTATATGAGCTATTGTAAGAACAAAACACATTGATAAATGAAAATGTAAACGTATGTGCAGTAATAAGAATGAAAATATCTGTTTATTATATTAATAAATGCTTGCCGAAGTTCATAGAGACGCATAATGCGTCTCTATAGTATTCAGTGATAATATGAAGATGTGAACATATAGGAGCTTATATATAACAATGAAAATATATGTTTATTCGTGGTGTTTGGAGAACGAGGCATACACATGCATTGATATATTATTTAGAATGTATAATATACATGAGGTAATAACAATGAAAATATATGTTCATTCCTTTTAGTTTCGCCTTTTGGAGAACGACGCATACACACTACACAAAACACATTGCATGATAAATGAAAATGTAAACTTATGTACAGTAATAAGAATGAAAATATCTGTTTATTTTCACCATACGCACGATGTGCACGGATCGTACGGATTTAGTGGGCATCAGTTGCATGATTAGTGTTTGCTGCACTGTTGGAGGTAAACATGCACAGCTTGAGGTTTTTTACCATGTGTTACGGATCGTGAAGTACATTCACGATCTGTGTTGCATCGTAATTGTTTGACCATGTGTTACGGATCGTGAACTATATTTACGATCGGTGTTGCATCGTGATTGTTTCACCATGTGTTACGGATCGTGAACTATATTCACGATCCGTGGCGCATCGTGATTGTTTCACCATGTGTTACGGATCGTGAACTATATTCACGATCCGTGTCGCATCGTGATATTGGACATGTATGGATTTTTGGTTATTATGTTAATAATTTTGTACGACTTTTAAGGCATTCAATTGAAGTAATTCTGAGCCGTAAACATATTTTACTTCTTGGCCTTTGAATCAAAATACGACTCGCTCGGACGTTTGTTGAGCGCAATAGTCGAAAAAGTTTTGTCCCAACTTTGATTTTTTTTGACCGGCTGGCCAAGACAACTTCTCGTAAGGATTCGTTAAAAAAATACAAATTCAAGTTGAGCATTTCTTGATTTTCAACTGAAAAGATCAACTAGTGGCTAAAATTAATTGTGAATTGTATTCTATCGAACGTGAACGATACGTGTACATCCGAAGAGTTTTAAAAACCTTTCACGTCATGCTTCTTGCGAAAGCAACCGTTCGCAAGCGTTTTGAGCAAAAACTCTAAAATATTGGCAGTATTAGCTACCTGAAAATACAATAGCAGAATCTACTAAATTATCGTATAACATCGGAATTTTACCCCCAATATCTATTTTTTCATCAAAACTCGACTACAAAACAGTCAAAACTTCCAGCTCAGTTTTCCCGCCATATTTATCCTTGCCATATAAGACAACGTCGCCATAGTAACCACAACAAACTCGTTACCAGTTCATTGCATCACACATCGATCGGCGCCTATAAGCCGTTTCACCGCCCTCTATATAAGCGCCCTGGTAAAAATAGTATAGGACACCAATAATGCCCTGATCAAATGTGCATTAGAGTTATAGCAGTTTACAGGTCTGCTGGATTCATATAAACAGGCACTTAAATTTACGCTTACCCTGCATATGGCATTTGTGAAAATAAGTTTTGGTCAAGGTTATTTCCGTAACGCAGAACGACGGAAAGAAATTGAGGTAAAAGAGTTTTAATCGTATCTTAAAGGTCCGTTTGATGAAAACGTAAAACATGAAAAATTTCAAACATTTTTGCTTTTCCTAATTATAATTGTTTTTATTGCCAAAATAACGTCGATTTCTCCTTCTTGAGCACACTTTTCACATGGAGCCACCTGGATTACTTCAATTGGCATGCTTCTCTGCAACGTTATCAACCGGAATAATAAATTTCACAGGGTGTGAAACAAAACTGCACGACCATTGACTATCTGGCTCGGAGGAATTGCACAACCACGCTCAGCTTAAATAACATTAAATACAATAAAACTTTTAATAAACAACAACAATTTGTCTTAATAAATTCCAATTGAAAAGAAGGATGTGGTTTTAATTCAAAAATCTTATTTGCACGTTCGGTAATCAAAGAAAAACCAGCACTGGATTATAGTTTGCACCAGCTTTATACAAGAATGGGGAATACACCAAAGAAACAACAGCTAGATGACTACCTCAAAGCTGGACGTTCTTATAGACAAAGCCATCAGTTTAAACTGGCAATTGAAAATTTTCAACAAGCCTTGAAATTTGCCAACGAACTGAACGACGGAGAGAAAGAATCCGAGGGAAACATTGAGTTAGGTACTGCCTATATATGGGACAATCAGATTCAAACAGCAATAGAATACTATGAAAAAGCCTTGGAAATCGCAAAAGAACAAGGATATGAACTAGAGGAAACACGCGCGTACCTTGGGTTAGGAGATGCCTATAGATTGAACAATCAGTTTCAAATGGCAATTAAATACTATAAGCAAGCCTTGAAAACTGCAAAAGAACGAAAAGATCAAGATCAGGAAACTACGGCATACCTTGGGTTAGGAGTTGTTTATAGATTGAACAATCAATTTCAAACGGCAATTAAATATTATGAGCAAGCCTCGGAAATTGCAAAAGAACGAGAAGATCAAGATCAGGAAACAAGGGCATACCTTGGGCTAGGCGTTGTCTATAGATTGAGCAATCAGTCTCAAACGGCAATTAAATACTATGAGCAAGCCTTGGAAATTGCAAAAGGACAAAAAGACCAAGATCGGGAGACAACGGCATACCTTGGGTTAGCAGATGTATACAGATTGATCAATCAGTTTCAAACAGCAATTAAATATTACAAACAAGCCTTGGAAATTGCAAAAGAACGAAAAGATCAAGATCAGGAGACAAAGGCATACCTTGGGTTAGGAGTTGTTCATAGATTGAAAAATCCGTTTAAAACGGCAATTAAATATTATGAGCGAGCCTTGGAAATTGCAAAAGAACGAAAAGATCAAGATCAGGAGACAACGGCATACCTTGGGTTAGCGGATGTTTATAGATTGAACAATCAGTTTCAAACGGCAATTAAATACTATGAGCAAGCCTTGGAAGTTTCGAAAGAAAGAAAAGTTCAAGATCAGGAGACAAAGGTATACTTAGGGTTAGCAGATGCCTATAGATTGAACAACCAGTTTCAAACAGCAATTAAATACTATGAGCAAGCCTTGGAAATTGAAAAAAAACAAAAATATCAAGATCAGGAGACAACGACATACCTTGGGTTAGCAGATGCTTATAGATTAAACAACCAGTTTCAAACGACAATCAAATACTATGAGCAAGCCTTGGAAATTGCAAAAGAGCGAAAAGATCAATATCAGGAGACAACGGCATACTTAGGGTTAGCGGACGTTTCTAGATTGATCAATCAGTCTCAAACGGCAATTAAATACTATGAGCAATCCTTGGAAATTTCAAAAGAACTAAAAGATCAAGATCAAGAGACAACGGCATACCTTGGGTTAGGAGTTGTTTACAGATGGAAGAATCAGTTTGAAACGGCAATTAAATACTATGAGCAAGCCTTGGGAATTGAAAAAGAACGAAAAGACCAAGCTCACGAGACAACGGCATACCTTGGGTTAGCAGATGTTTATAGATTGATCAATCAGTTTCAAACGGCAATTAAATATTACAAACAAGCCTTGACAATTGCAAAAGAATGCAAACGTCAAGATCAGGAGGCAACGGCATACCTTGGGTTAGGAGATACTTGTGGATTGGACAATCAGTTTGAAACGGCAATTAAATACCATGAGCAAGCCTTGGAAATTGCAAAAGAACGAAAAGATCAAGATCAGGAGACAACGGCGTACCTTGGGTTAGCGGGTGTTTCTAGATTGAACAATCAGTTTCAAATGGCAATTAAATACTATGAGCATGCCTTGGAAGTTTCAAAAGAAAGAAAAGATAAAGATCAGGAGACAAAGGTAAACCTTGCGTTAGCATATGCTTATAGATTGAACAACCAGTTTCAAACGGCAATTAAATACTATGAGCAAGCCTTGGAAATTGCAAAAGAACGAAAACGTCAAGATCAGGAGATAACGGCATACCTTGGGTTAGGAGATGCTTGTGGATTGAACAACCAGTTTCAAACGGCAATTAAATACTACGAGAAAGCCCTGGAAATTGCAAAAGAACAAAAAGTCCAAGATCAGGAGACAACGACATACCTTGGGTTAGCAGTTGTTTATAGATTGATCAATCAGTTTCAAACGGCAGTTAAATATTACAAAAAAGCCTTGAAAATTGCAAAAGAACGCAAACGTCGAGATCAGGAGACAACGGCATACCTTGGGTTAGCAGATATTTATAGATTGATCAATCAGTTTCAAACGGCAATTAAATACTACAAACAAGCCTTGAAAATTGCAAAAGAACGCAAACGTCAAGATCAGGAGACAACGGCATACCTTGGGTTAGGAGATGCTTGTGGATTGAATAATCAGTTGCAAACGGCAATTAAATACTACGAGCAAGCCTTGAAAATTGCGAAAGAACGAAAAGATCAAGATCAGGAGACAACAGCATACCTTGAGTTAGGAGTTGTTTATAGATTGATCAATCAATTTCAAACGGCAATTAAATACTTTGAACAAGCCTTGGAAATTGCAAAATAACGAAAAGATCAAGATCAGGAGACAAAAGCATACCTTGGGTTAGGAGTTGTTTATGGATTGGACAATCAGTTTCAAATGGCTATTAAATATTACGAGCAAGCCTTGGAAATTGCAAGGGAACGAGAAGATCAAGATCAGAAGACAACGGCATACCTTAGGCTAGCAGTTGTTTATAGATTGAACAATCAGTCTCAAACGGCAATTAAATACTATGAGCAAGCCTTGGAAATTGCAAAAGAAAGGGAAGATCAAGATCAGGAGACAAAGGCATACCTTGCGTTAGGAGATGCTTATGGGTTGTACAATCAGTTTCAAACGGCAATTAAATACTATGAGCAAGCCTTGGAAATTACAAAAGAACAAAAAGATCAGGATCAACAGACAAAGGCATGCCTTAACTTAGCAAAAGCTTATAGCTTGAACAATCAGTTTCAAATGGCAATTAAATACTATGAGCAAGCCTTGGAAATTGTGAAAGAACGAAGAGATGAAGATCAGGAGACAACAGGATACCTTGAGTTAGGAGTTGTTTATAGATTGATCAATCAATTTCAAACGACAATTAAATACTTTGAGCAAGCCTTGGAAATTGCAAAAGGACGAAAAGATCAAGATCAGGAGACGAAAGCATACCTTGGCTTAGGAGTTGTTTATGGATTGAACAATCAGTTTCAAACGGCAATTAAATATTACGAGCAAGCCTTGGAAATTGCAAAGGAACGAGAGGATCAAGATCAGGAGACAAGGGCATACCTTGGGCTAGGAGTTGTTTATAGATTGAACAATCAGTCTCAAACGGCAATTAAATACTATGAGCAGGCCTTGAAAATTGCAAAAGAACGAAAAGATCAAGATCAGGAGACAACGGCGTACCTTGGGTTAGAAGAAGCTTGTGGATTGAACAATCAGTTTCAAACGGCAATTAAAAACTTTGAGCGAGCCTTGGAAATTGCAAAAGAACAAAAAGGACAAGATCGGGAGACAAAGGCATACCTTGGGTTAGGAGTTATTTATGGGTTGAAAAATCAGTTTCAAACGGCAATTAAATACTATGAGCAAGCCTTGGAAATTGCAAAAGAACAAAAAGATCAAGATCAGGAGACAACGGCATACCTTGGGTTAGGAGAAGCTTGTGGATTGAACAATCAGTTTCAAATGGCAATTAAATACTTTGAGCAAGCCTTGGAAATTGCGAAAGAACAAAAAGATCAAGATAAGAAGACAACTTCAACGGCATACCTTGGGTTGGGAGATGCTTATAGATCAAACAATCAGTTTCAAACGGCAATTAAATACTATGAGCAAGCCTTGGAAATTACAAAAGAAATAAAAGATCAGGATCAAGAGACAAAGGCATGCCTTAACTTAGCCAAAGCTTATACCTTGAACAATCAGTTTCAAACAGCAATTAAATACTATGAGCAAGCCTTGGAAATTGCAAAAGAAAGAAAAGATCAAGATCAGGAGACAACAGCATACCTTGAGTTAGGAGTTGTTTATAGATTGAACAATCAATTTGAAACGGCAATTAAGAGTGAATGTCAGTAAAAATCGAACATATGAGATATTTCGCGGCCACGACTGAAAAATCGATTTTGCTCAAATTTTGCCCAGATATACCTTATTATATCGGAAAATGCACCATATATTTTTTTAGGCCAAATGCTTTTTTAACTTTGAGAAAATGCCGTTTTAACACGACCACCCTAAATCGCCATTTTGTCTGGGAAAATATGCGCTGAGTTTACCGACAAATTTCACGACGACAACCGTTTATAATCGATCTAAAACCCTAAAAATCTTGTTTTCGGTTATTCAAAGGACCGGGCACGTGACTTACAAGAAATCTGAGTTACTTTTAGGAATAGAAATAATCGTAGTTTTGGAGCACACTATCTTACTTCATTTACGATACCCTCTTAACAAAACCGATTTTCACTATGGGATAAAGCTCCAAATCGATCATGCTTCTACTAGTTGGCTCTTTAATAAACAAGCTTTCAATTGACGTAAATACTTCCTTGGGCAAATGAATACGCGATAAACGACAGCGCGCTGAAATCGTCCGTTTTTGACGTCTTGCAAGCAAACGCTGTTAATTTACATACCGTCGAAGTAAACAATTTAGTCAAGTATTCTAAGTATTTTACCTTTTCAGAAGAAGATATATTCTTGAATGGAGACTTTTTGCCTTGGTAAGTTTAAAATTGGTCCAAAATCCTGATATATTTGTAAAATATCATCATATACAGGTATTTTGAGATATAATATTGTTGTCAGTTGCATGATAACTTCAGATCACTGTTCAATATTGTCTACTTTTAATAGCGCTAACATACCAATCCATGAGCTGTTTAGGGATTATATTTGCTACTAAATTTCCCAAAATTAGAACTTCAGTTGTTGTTTTGTTCCAGTTTGATCCATATAATGTACATTTTACATATCGACTATGCTATCGAGTATAAATGTTTACGAATACATAAGTTAATTATTAAGCAGCTGTTAATAGCGTGCGTGTGAAATGAACATTAATCTATACAAGGTTTGTTATTTTATTACATATTCTACCACCTCAAACTCAAATTATAGCAAATAGTTTAGAATAATTATTTTAATGTGTGTTCACTTTGATGCTCAGTTAAAATAATCAGTAAAATTACTTTCTTTTGATACACTATTGTCCATGGGCGTACCGGAAGGAAAAAATTAGGGGGGCGGAAAGAAAATTGCCCGACTTTTCGGGATTTTGCCCGACTAGTACCAAAAATTTTTTCCGGAAAAATTTTTTTGCCGACCTCCCCCTCCCCGTCGCCAAAAAAATTTCGGTCAGTGTACCATTTTAGGGGTCAAAAAAATTTTCCGCACAACCAATATTTTTCGGAACATACACAAAATTTTCGAAAAATCTCAAAATTTGCCAAGAAATTTACTTAATTTTAGACAAAATTTACAGAATTTGTCACAATTTTTTTTATTGCAAGCCAAAATTGCCCGACCGCCCAAAAAACTGGGGGGGGCTGCCGCCCCCCCCCGCCCGGTACGCCTATGCTATTGTTTATTGATCTTATTTTTTTCCACAAGTACTAGTAACCCAAAAATACAGCATTGAGATATGTTACCCCAGTGCGACACCAGAAATTATTATTGGCAATTGATAAAACTAGAATAGTGAAGCGAATAGTGCGAATAGTGCGAATAGTCGACGAATAGTACGAATAGTCCGCGAATAGTCGACGAATAGTGCGAATAGTCCGCGAATAGTCGACGAATAATACGAATAGTCCGCGAATAGTCGACGAATAGTACGAATAGTCGACAAATAGTGCAATAGAGACTTTGTAAGGCTTTGCAGCAGTGCTGTAGAACTAAATTTACCGGGGGGGGGGCTCTGTTGACAAACATGAAATCGTGAAAACATTCGTCGACGTACGTCAATGACGTCATACGTCTAGTGATTGTCATCAGTGGCGCCGTGGCCGGGGGGGCCAGGTGGGGGGCATGGCCCTCCCCTATTGTTGACACCCGTCGTAAAATTGCCAATGCTGCCGGAAATTGTCGGAAAATTGTCAAGGCTGTCGGAAATTGTCAAAGTTGTCGACGGGGGGGGGGTGAAGATTTAAAATGTTGTCGTCCGGAAAACTTTTTGGTTTGTCGGAAAATTTTTTCGGTTTGTCGGAAAAGTACTGCCCTTGCCCCCCCCCCAAAAAAAAACATGGGTCCCACGGCACCACTGATTGTCATTCTACTTCCTGTTAAATATTTGTTAAAACTCAGTGGTCCCGTAATTTTTACCGATTACGTATGACGTCATTGACATCAACGAATGTTTTCACGATTTCATGTTTGTCAATAGAGCCCCCCCCCCCGCTCCGCTTCGGTAAATTTAGTTCTACAGCACGGTGGAAAGCCTTGCAAAGTCTCTATTGCACTATTCGTCGACTATTCGTACTATTCGTCGACTATTCGCGGACTATTCGCATTATTCGTCGACTATTCGCGGACTATTCGCACTATTCGTCGACTATTCGCGGACTATTCGCACTATTCGTCGACTATTCGCACTATTCGTCGACTATTCGCACTATTCGCACTATTCGCTTCACTATTCTAGTTTTATCAATTGCCATTA